AGTTCCTTCAGCCCGAGTCGACTGCTGATGAGCTGGATGACCTGACGTTACAGAGCTGCACCTTTTACTCCACTGACCCAGTCCACCGGGTCTGAACCGGTGCTGGTACCGACTGGATCAGGAGTCAGCCAATTGTGACCACATTCAGTCAGACACTGGTGATCAACTAATCATGTGGCTCTAAATCAGTTTGTCCCTACAGAAAACTGGAGCTGCAACAATATGTTGATCCATCAATCAATCGATCGATCAATCAATCTACAGGAAATTAGTCAGAAACTGTTTTGATAATTAATTCGTGATTTAATCTTTAATCTGTTCAAGCTCCAGATATTCTCTGCTTCTCTCTGCTCTGAACATTGTTATAAATGTGATCAATTTATCACCGATCAATGTGTCGATTATTTTCTTCATTAACTTTAATCGTTTTAGTCGAATCAGGCAGTAAAATGTCAGAAACAGTCATTTCAGGTTCCTAAAAGTCTCCAAGTGGCTTGTTCTGAAAAACGCATTTAAGGATCATGTAAGTCAAAGTAAAGTCGGGCTTGTTTGGTGTTTATCACTGATTCATTTCCTGTGGTTCGATTAATCGACTGATCATTTCAGCTCTGTGAAATCTCGCGGATTCGCCTCCGGGCAACGTTAAAAGTTGTGAGTTGTTGTTTCTCCCGGTTAAAACTTCACAAACCGGCCGTTTTAACGTGTTTCCGGTTGAGAGCTGCGCCTGAAACGTTAATGAGACTAACGTGAAGAAACATGACATTAGCGGGTTAGCTACGAGACCCGGAGCCGGGCAGCTCCGTCGGGACATGGTGGTCCGCCTGGCCGGGCAGGGGACCCTCCGGAGCGGCCTTACCTGCAGAGAGCCTCCGCTGTTCGGCCGACACGGAGCTCTGGAAGAAGGCGAGAGCCAGCAGCCAGAGAAAGCGACAGGAAGACATGGCGGCGTTTACAAGACTCTGCTCGGACCGTTAACCGTCACTTTATTCCTCTTTTCCTGCTCTGTCTTCTTCACTCCATCAGATCCGCTCCGAAACTCCTAACCTCCTTCAACTCTCGCGATACTTCTTACTCCGAGTCTTCCCGTTCACAAAGATGTCAACACAAGTCAGACAAAAACGATCCCGCCCATTTATAGAGCATCAGCCAATGAGAAGCGCTACGGGATTGATTGACAGGGACGCCGGGCAATCCGCGCGCAGGAGCGGCTCCTCACGAGCCAATCAGAGGAGGACAGATGGAAACGAGGGGGCAGGTTTTTTTTTCGTGGCAGAAAGTTCGTGAAAAACGGAGAAAGTGAATCTTTGCCACGTGTGATACATTTGAAAGGGGGGGGGCATTAGGGAGGGAGATCAATGCAATCCAATCAATCGATTGAATGAGGGAACCGCCTTATGATGATGACGTAGGGCCTCAGGTAACTTTGGTCTGACAGTTAGAAGAACTTTTTACCACCAGTTAGAATCCGGACTCAAACATCTGACAGTGTGATTTAATCAGTCTGGTGCAGCGTGGTCCTGGTCCGGGTCCGGGTCCGGGTCCGGGTCAGGGACTGGGCTGGTCCAAAACCAGTTCACCTCAATCCTGAACCCAAACACGTGACAGAAATAACCTGACAGTAATTTGACAGTAAACACAGCAGGTGAGATTTCAGGCTCCAGTAAACGCCTCATTACTGATACTGAAACCACACACATGTTGCGTTCACGTGTTGATTGAGGTGTTGCAGAGACGTCACACTATTAAAAGAGGTTCGTTTGAAGAATTATATGAATGTACAGAAATGAATAAATTACAATAACAGTTATTACAGTAATTACAGTAATTCATATCGAGAGGAAACAACAGAAAAATAGAAAAACATATTTCTGTGACTGAAAATTCCTATTGAAGCAAACACATTTCCTATTAATATCCTGCAGGATTCTACTGTTGTCTTTTATTTTCCCACGATACAGACGATCATGACTTCCTGTAACTTACTTCTGTTTTATGGTGTTTGTTTTTCTTTTTGTTTCTTTCTGTGAAACACACTAATTTTCTTAAGAATATATATATATATATAAAATGTATTATTATTAATGTTATTATTATAACTATTATTATTAGTAATCGTAATAATAATATCACAGACCTCGTGAGCTGATTTATACGGTGGTCCTTTGTTAAGTTGTCATTTATTTTAATTGGAGTTTATAATATATGTAAAATAATACAGAAAAAAGTCAATCATTGTTTGTTTACGGATAAAATAATAAATCAATTCAATATATAAAGAAAAGTCTCTTCAATCACTTTTTAAATATAAATAAATTTCCCAAATCAACGTTTATTCATGTGCGCGTGTATCATGGAGTCAGGGCCCCGCCCCTCGCCTTGTTGCCGTAGTAACGGGACAACACCGCACCGACGGACATTGTTTATCTGCTGAGTTCGTGATGGACAGACCGAGGTTCTTCACTCCCGCCGAGGTGGCCGCTCACAACACCGCTGCCGACCTGTGGGTGTCATTTCTGGGTAAAGTGTGCGACCTGACCCCCCTGATGAGCCGGTACCAAGGTGAGCCAGGCACACACGTGACGTGACGTGAGCTCACCTGCTTCAGTTAACTGAGACGAAGATTGTTCACTTTAACTACACAGCTGTAGTTTGAAGCAGCTCCACCTGCAGCGGGAAAACTCTGACTGGACATTTGATTGACTTGATGCTGACTGTATGAAGAACATTATTTACTTAATTTACACTAAGAACAACTTCCATTCACACATCACTAATTATCACCACTGATAGAGGAGCAGTGACGTCACAGGAAAAGTAAAGCATTTCCTTCATTTTTTATTTTGATAGGAATTAAAAACAGGAATTCATTGATCCATCAATAAATTCTTCAGATTTAAAATTAGATGTACAACTTTCATGAAATAAACCATTTATAAATACATTTATTAATTAATGAATAAATCATAGAATATGAAAAACTATTTGAAAAGACATTTTAAAAATGAGAACACATTCCTGGATTCACTCTTCAATCTCCATTTCGTTTTTCCAGCTTCCTGTTAGCTGATCCATTAGCGTAGTTGTTTAGCTTCTCCTGTTAGCCTCTCATTCAGTGCTGGTTAAACCAGGCTAAACAATCCCAGTTAGCCATGGGATGTTTCAAGCTCTCTGATTGGTTGGAGAGCTAACCAGTCATATCGGGTTTCACCAGCACTGAAGGCCCAGAGTGTCACAGAGAGGCTAACAGGAGAAGCTAAAGGGCTAAACTAGCTAACAGGAAAAGCAGCTGGACACTGTCCTAAATTAATAAATGTTTTATAAAAGGTTTATTTAATGAGTTTTTGTGAATCCATTTTTAAATCTGAAGTATTTATCGATGGATTCATTCCCAATTTTAATGTCTATTAAAATATGAAATTAAGGAAATGCTTTGTCTCTTTTCCTGTGACGTCACAGCGGCTATAGATAACATATAGATATATACAGTATACAGATAGGGACTGGACAGGAGCTTGTGCTGTGAGCAGCTCTGTCAGAGGAACGTGGTCCAGGTGTGTCTGTGTCCCTGCAGGTGACGCTCTGCTGTTACCCATCATGGAGTGTGCAGGTAAGGACATCAGCTGCTGGTTCGACCCCGACACCGAAGACGTGAGTGATAAAAGAGACGATCAGCTGATCTCAGATCTGCTCAGATCCTTCACAGTCTGTCTGCCTTTCAAAGTAAAAGTCTGGACGCACTGTGACTCATCCAGTGGTTCTCAACCCGGGGGTCGGGTTGTACCTGTGTCTCTGTACCTGTCCTCCGTCCTCAGGTCCTGAAATATGTGGATCCACTGACTAACTGTGTGAGGTACTACACCCCCAGGGGGCGCTTCGTGCACGTCCCCCCCGCCGGCCCTCGCTCCGACTGGGCCAGTGACATCGGTCCTCCGTGGTGGAGGGATCGACGCTACGAGGTGGGGCTGCTGTCGGCTAAAACCAGGTGGATCCGAGTCATCAACACGCTGACCTCGCAGGAGCAGCGGCTGCAGGTGAACTGTTTACACCAGGTGCACTCTGGGTAACTGAGTGAGAATAAAGCGTTTTTCTTCTTGAATCTTCCTCTGACACTTTGATGAATCCAGAGTCGTGGTTTTGTCCTCAGGTGTGTTCGGAGGAGACTCTGGCTGAGATCCTCCAGCGTTACCTGCGCTACAACTCTCACGCCTGCAGCTACACCTGGAAACACGGCGGAGCGACTCTGGACATGAGCAGGACGCTCGGCGAGAACGACGTCCCCGACGACGACCACGAGCTCCAACAGCTGCGACTGGACCGAGACCTCTTCACCCCCGCCATCCTCCTCCACTTCAACGATGACCTCACCGAGGGATGACCTCTGACATCATCACCTGAGGGCGGGATCAGTGCGGGGATTAACCATATTATTATAACCAGTTCATTAAATGTTCACGAGAAATGTTTATGACTCGTTTATTTCATCTTTATTCTCAGTCACAGGTTTTAACATGAATCTGAAAGTTGTCTGATGTTTCCTGAACAGGCCAGAGCAGCTTCACGTCAACATGACGTCACCTGATCAGTGTTTCCTCTCTGTGTTTGGGCTCCAGCAGCTGCTCCACTGGACTGAGTCTAAATCTCTGTGAAGCCGAGAGCAGCTGCTGGATCAGCTGATGATTCTCTGCAGGGCTGATGTCACTTCCTCTGGAGAATCACAGGGTTTCTCTTCAGCCTGTGAGGTGAATGATGACCGACCGTTTCCTGTTAGCAGCTGCAGTGTCGACTGATCAGATCACTGATGTCAGAAAAAGACAAATATGGCACCAGAAGCTCGGACAAACATGAAGCATCAACATGAAGAACCAGAAGCTGCAGTTCCTCTAACGACCACTAGAGTCTGGCTCCAACAGTGAGTCAGTCCCCATAGACTCCCATGTTAAAATGTCCAACTTTACAGCAGAAATAAACATGTTTACAGCCTGGTACAGAAACAGCTTTGTTTCCTCCTTCATGTCACCTGTTTATATAACTCACCTGTTTATATAACTCACCCGTTTATATTTTATTAAGGACCAAAGTTATGGAGGGTTGAGGGCGTGGCCTCTTTGAGTGACAGGTCTGAGTCTCAGCTCCACACAGGCCCCTCCTCTTTGACCATATTTGGATTGGCTGGGATTTAGGGGCGGAGTCAGGCACTGCTAAGATGGCGACAGTGGAACAGCTCACTGCGAGTGGTGTCACAGAGGAGTCGTCCATCTTTATTTACAGTTAATGTTCCCAACCTGTGGGCAGGGGCCCCCTGGTGGGCCGTGAAGGTGTTTCAAGAGGGCCGACAAATCTTTGCAAAACATCACAATTTCGGTGAAAAGCTGTAATTATTTAAAATATATATGTACATATAAATAATGTTTTAAAAAGAAATGATCTTTACTCTCAGTCTGATTAAAAGGTCACGTCCTTGGTAAGAGCTGAACAGCTGGTTAACAGCAGGAAGAGTTGAAACAGAAGAGACGTGGTGATCATAAAGTAACTGCTGAGCCGTCAGTGGGTCATGAGTCATGAAGGTGGGAACAGCTGTCGACACTGCAGAGACGTGTCTTTACTCATGGACCGGACTTTTGGTTCAGAACCATGAATTCAACACAACAAACCCTCCATGTTGAGCTGCCAGGTGAAGCGTGTGGCGGAGGTGAAGGAGTCTGAGGATCAGGAAATTTAGACGACATAAAGAAAGATGTGTTCTCACAGAGTTTGATCCAAAGACTTTCACATGTTGGTTTGAGGAAGTGAAGACTGACGATCAGTTTCCCCTCCGGAAAACACTGAAGGAGAGAAGGAAGAATAAAAGAGAAGTTTTGGTGACTCATTGAAGACCTGAACATCTGTTGTGAAATGCTGAACTGGGTCCAGATGCTGGATTGAAGTGATGACTGGAGGTTTTCATAGCGCTGGTTGATCGATGAGCAGAGGGAAGAAGAAGAGGTGAACTACATCAAACCTTGTTCCTGGAGAAGTTTGTCAGAAAACGACTCTTCGGTTCAGAAACGACGCGTCTTTCTTCTTCTCTGGACTGTTTCTGCAGAGACTCACGTGAGGAAAACTTTCTCTCGTTTATCGTCAGTGTTTAAACGATGAGATGCTTCTTTGAATTAACTCAGTTTTTACAGATGTTTCATTGATTTGTAAAGAAATTCTAATCTGACAGAAACACGTTGGTTCATATACAGAAGCTCAGAGTTAATTATCTTTAAGTCTCATTAGGATGATCCTAATGAACGATTCATGTGGTAAACAGCATTTCATTTAATTAGTAATTAATTGATAATAATATAACTGACAGCATGTGGATGATGAATTTCCCAGTTGTGGGATTAATAAAGTTAATCTAATCTAATGTGTCACGGTGCAGAGAGCTCGTGTCAGTATTATAAACAGGTTCTTATGTGCTTGTTTAAGCACATGTAGTGAGGCTCGGTCCTGCAGGGTCCAGCTCTGTTTCAAGAGGACGTGACGGCTGTTTTCTGGGGGGCGTGGCTTCAGTTAAGATCCCTGACTGTAGTTCAGAGGCTGTTGACTCACTGTCTTCATCTTAAAGGGACAGAGACGTCTCCGTGATGTCGGACTACCCGTATGAGAGGGAACATGACGGCTCCTGGATCAAAGGTACCTGAGTTTAAAACATCTGGAACTACGAGGTCTGTCCGTGTGTCTGAAGTGATGACCTGTCTGTCTGTCTGTCTGTCTGTCTGTCTGCCTGCCTGTCTGTCTGTCCATCTACCTGTCTGTCTGTCTGTCTGCCCGTCTGTCTGTCTACCTGTCTGTCTGTCTGTCTGTCAGAACCTGTCTATTTCTCAGGTGTCTCCAGGTTCAGACGTTGGCTGTTTCCTGCTCTGACAGCTGTAGTCATCCTGGTTCTGATCTTTGCGCTGGGAGCTAGCAGTGAGTGCGCACACACACACACACACACACACACACACACACACACACACACACTGTCTAATATGCTGCTGTACAAATCCTACATATTCACTCCAAACTGAAGAGTTAAGACCAGAATCTGTTTCACCATATAATAATTCTTAAATGATGAAATGATTATAAAACGATAATAAAACGATAATAAAATGATTATACCATTTAAATGTATGAATGTAAAATTTGCAGGAAATACAAAAAAGGCGTGAAAGCCTGAAACCTGCTAACCTTGACTAGCTAGCTCTGTGCTAGTGACATGTAGCCATCAAAGCTAATTCACTGACTTTTACAATCAGTTTGCTGAAATTAAAATCATCGTTTTTATTCTTCCAGTATCTCAGTAACTGAGTTTACTGAACCGTGTGAAGGCAGCAGCTGGATCTGATTATAACCCTAACCCTTATAATAACGCTGCTAAAACTAGCTTAGCTTAGATGGTATTTAAACTGCTCAGATTCTATAACATAGATTATAGAATCTTGATTCTTATTCTAAATCCTAAGTAAACGTTTTCCAGCCGACAGCGTGAAGCTGTTTGACTCTGTAGTTACTGAGTTCTGTGTCTGAACAGACGTGAAGACGTCCAATCATCTGTCCTCTGTGGAGCAGAGCGTTTCCAACCTGAGCAGCGTCATCCAATCACTGAACGCCTCACTGCAGCACGCTCAAGGTAACACACACACACACACGCACGCACACGCATCACTGCAGCACGCTCAAGGTAACACACACACACACACGCACGCACACGCATCACTGCAGCACGCTCAAGGTAACACACACACACACACACACACACGCACACGCATCACTGCAGCACGCTCAAGCTAACACACACACACACACACGCACGCACGCACGCACGCTCAAGGTAACACACACGCACGCAAATACGCACGCACGCGCACACACACACCATTAGCCACTGTTGGCTGGAAACACACACTCTTGTCTTTTTGGAGAAACACATTTTTCCACTGCAGGTTTTTCAAAATAAAAGTAATCTAGCGCTCTAAATCTGGAGCTCTTAGTTTGAAGTTTCAGGGCTGATGTATGGAAGCCCATTGGTGCCTGTTCTCAGTACTCAGTTAACGAGGGGCTGGACTTGGACTGGAGTATCACACTGGTAACCATAGCAACATGCTAACATGCTAAATACTTCGGTGTCTTGTCGTCTGTTCCAGAAACAGCTAAAGAAGTTCATCGACTGCAGTTTGTCCTGGAGAACCACAAGGAGCAGCTGACCTCAGGTCTGTCTCACCGCTCATCAGTGGCAGCGGTAACACTGGTAACCACAGTAACGACAGGTACACCTCTGCTGGTTCCCGCTGAGAAAGAAAAGAGGGAGCGAGTGAACATGTCGAGGAAAGAAGGAATAAATGTTAAAATAAGAGGCAGAGGTCTGAAATTACTGAAACAGGTTCACGTTATATTACAACCGACAAACCTGGTTTTTACCTGGTGATTAAAATGATCATGATGATACTGACCTGGCTCCTTATTAAACATGTTATCCATGTTCGACCTACATCAGCAGGTGATATTATTACATCACACTTTATTATGTCAGTCTTTCCTTCCATGGCTGCATTTGGCAAAGGTGCGTTTGTTTAGCGTACCTGTTGTGAGCTGCTGCCGTTCTGGACCAACCTGCCTCCTTCCTTAATTTGTCTTAATTCCAACTTAAAAACAGGGAGAACATCACGTATTTGTTCTTAAACACACAAAGAACCTTGACTGACACGGTGAAGCAGAAGAAAATGAATGTCCCCCCCCTTATGCTGGACTCCTTTACGTTAATAAGTGAAACTGTGTTTGTCCTTTACGTTAACTGTACTGTTACTGTAACAGTATCTCTGATAATACATTTAATATAATCCATTTCTCTTTTCCTCTGAAACATCCAGATGTTCGTCTCACTTTCCTCCATCTCAGCACCAGCAGGAGCCACTGAGTCTCACTGTAAACCTCTAACTCTGTGTGTGTGTGTGTGTGTGTGTGTGTCTCTCTCAGTGTCAGAGGCGCTGAAGCAGCTGTCAGTCGTGGACTCTCTCAGCAAGAGCGTCGCTTCGCTCAAATGTTCCCTCGAACACATCATCAACAACAGTACGTCCACGCCCACCGAGCTGTATCATTAAAGTGCTGACAGACAGAGGCTCACACCTGTCTGTGCACCTGTCTGTGCACCTGTCTGTCTCTCAGGCTCAGCGGTGGACAAGTGTTGTCCTCTGGGTTGGAATCTGTTCGGCTCCAGCTGTTACTTCTTCAGCACGTTGTCTCTGTCCTGGAACGAGTCCAGAGACTGGTGTGAGAGACACAAAGCTCACCTGGTCATTCTCAACACTGACGAGGAGTGGGTAAGACAGCCTGTCTGTCTGTCTGTCTGTCTGGTACAGGTAGACTTAGAACAGGTAGACTGTGACCTGGTGAGGACCTGGTCTGTGGTGGATCTACTATCATAGAACACGGCGTCATCTACATAGAAACAAACACTTTATCGCTGCATTGGAAAGGAAACGGTCTGTCTGCCTGTCTGTCTGCCTGTCTGTCTGTCCAGGACTTTGTGACCCGTCATTCAGTTCCTGGTTTATTCTGGGTGGGTCTGAGTGACCAGAGGACAGGGAAGTGGGAGTGGGTGAACCAGACTCCGTACACCATGGAGCACAGGTGAAGATGTTTTGAACCTTTAGTTTGAACTAAATATTCAAAGCAAATGAAGTAAAACTGAGCTGCTCAGTTCTGCAGCGACGAGAGTTTATTATTTATTTCTCTGTTATTTAGAATCAGTTTAATCAGACCTGAGTGTGTGTGTGTGTGTGTGTGTGTGTGTGTGTGTGTGTGTGTGTGTCTGTGTGTGTGGTTGCTAGGCGTTGGGCGCCCGGGCAACCTGACAGCTGGACGGGTCACGGCCTCGACCACGGAGACGAGGACTGCGCTCACCTGCACCGGAGTGGACGCCTCAACGACCTGCACTGCTCCACCCAGCTGAGCTACATCTGCCAGAGACACAGCCAGCACACCTGAACACACCTGCAGCAACATCCTGGCTCCGCCCACTCACTGCTCACCTCAGATCAGTGCTTCAGTGGTGTGTTGAGCTGCTGTCGGAGGCTCAGACAACAATAATAAACATGAATAAACAACAATAATAAACAACAATAAAACATGACATCACTGGGAACTTTCTCTTGTTGAAATAAATGTTTTCCTGATGAGAAATAAAAGTGTCAGAGAGCTCACGTTCATTCAAGAGCAGAGAAACAGACAGGTGAAGCAAACCAGGCAGATGTTAGGGGCCCACAAGGGGAAAAGGGGGGCCCCCAGTGGCCCCTCATACTGGAACATTTTGCAATGACAACTATAAAAACCCCTTAAAGTTAATATACATATATAAACCATGAAGCCCCACACCTGACTGTCTTTGATCACATGACCTAAACATGAACGTGTTAGTTTTAAAACTCATCCTTTCACACATTTTCGTGTCTCAGAAACTCTGTTGGATCTGTTTTATTTTTGAAAACTCTGGGGTTGTGTTTTATTTTGAAGTTGTCCTTGCAGCCGTTTATTTTATGTTTACAGCCTGGTACAGAAACAGTTTTGGTCTCAAGCTGATTTCCTCCTTCATGACACCTGTTTATATAACTCACCTGTTTACATTTTATTAAGGACTACAGTTATGGAGGATTAAGGGCGTGGCCTCTTTGACTGGCAGGTCGGGGCCCTCACAGTTAGCAGCGTCACCGCAGCTAATTCAAGTCACTGAATGTAGCGGGTATCAGTGTTAGCTCTCACCATACCTGCCATGTTAGTCTAGCTTGTTAACTAGCTAATTAGCCAGAAAATTAATTAGCTTTGGGTTAGCATTTGAGCAAGACATCCAAAAAGCTAGCTGTGCTAGCGATGCTAATGTAGCACCTGCTCGCCACAGTTATTAAACCGCCATGAACCGAAGTCTCAGCTCCACCCATGCTCCTCCTTTTTGACCATATTTGGATTAGCTGGGAGTTAGGGGGCGGAGTCAGACACTGCCAAGATGGCGACGGTGGAGCAGCTCACTCTGCTTCAGAAACCTGTGAGTGACGTCACAGAGGCGACGGCCATCCTTATTTACAGTCTGTGGTTCACGCTGCTGCCAGTTGGACGTCCATCTTGACTTTCATTACACGTTCCTTCGCTTCTCTGTCACCTGCCGCTTCAACTTCCTTCAACTTCAGCTCAGACTAACGTTCAGTTCCTCCAGAGGATCAACATCTTCAGTCACTTCGTCTGTTTTCAACGCTTCACTTCACAGTGGAGAAGAAACTCCAGCCTTTTCTAGTTGTTGGTGTATTTTAGTCAGTGACATCAGAGCTTCACACACACACACACACACACACACACACAGCCACACACACACACACACACACACACAGTGTTTTCCAGTTCAAAGTGCGCTCTGTGGCCAATGACCCTGGGCTCAGTGTTTGAACAGTCAGACAGTTTGTCAGGTTTCATCAAGAAGAAGAAGAAGAAGGAGTGAGACACACCAGGTGAGGAGACATCGCCATGACGACTGAATACCACGACGAGACTGAAGACGACAGCAACTCATTCTGGAACAAAGGTACCTGTCTGTCTGTCTGTCTGTCTGTTCCTATTGGGAAACTGTGTCTTGTCACTGTATGACCATCTGTGTCTCTCTCTCTCTCTGTCTCTCTCTCTCTGTCTCTACCTCTGTCTCTACCTCTCTCTCTACCTGTCTCTCTCTCTCTCTCTCTCTGTCTCTACCTGTCTCTCTCTCTCTCTCTCTCTCTACCTGTCTGTCTGTCAGAGCCTCGACCTGTCTACTTCTCAGGTGTGTCCAGGTACAGACGTTGGCTGTTTCCTGCTCTGACGGCAACAATTATCCTGGTTCTGATCATAGCACTGGGAGCTAGCAGTGAGTGCACACACACACCTAGCTAGCTGCTAGCATGGCGGCGTGCAGGAAAGAGGTTCCACCCTCACAGACCCGAGTCTGTGTGTGACATGGTGTGTGTGTGTGTGTGTGTGTGTGTGTGTGTGTGTGTGTGTGTGTGTGTGTGTGTGTGTTCAGACACCAGGACGTCAAACCGACTGTGGTACGTGGAGAAAAGTGTTTCCAACCTGACCGAGAGCCTGAGCTCCGCCCAGCAGCTTGCTAAAGGTGACACACCTGTGTTGATGACGCTCCTCCTCGTCCTCAGAGCTTTACTCTGATTGGTCTGTAACCTGCTGTTCCTCTGTCCCAGACGCAGCTAAAGACGTGCAGCGGCTGAAGTTTGCAGTGGAGAGCAACAAGGACCAGCTGACCTCAGGTGAGACAGATCACCATGGTGATGAAGATGATGGTGATGATGGTGATGATGATGATGTGATGATGGTGATGGTGATGGTGATGATGGTGATGAAGATGATGGTGATGATGATGATGATGATGAGGTGATGATGATGATGGTGATGATGATGGTGATGATGATGATGGTGATGATGATGGTGATGATGGTGATGATGGTGATGAAGATGATGGTGATGATGGTGATGAAGATGATGATGATGATGGTGATGATGGTGATGATGATGATGTGATGATGGTGATGATGGTGATGATGGTGATGATGATGGTGATGATGGTGATGATTGATGATGGTGATGAAGATGATGTGTCTCTGACACTCTGTGTTCAGTGTCAGAAGCTCTGAAGCAGCTCTCAGCTCTGGACTCCATCAGCAGGACGGTCGCTAAGCTCAAATGTTCCCTCGAACGCCTCGTCAACAACGGTACGAACACCCTGAACGCACCACTGACCCTGAACTCAACGTGTCCTCTCTCTGTACTGGAGTCTAATTGTGATATTGGTCCTTATGAAGTCAGAGGTGCAAGAGGACACAGATGTCTCTCTGATGTAATTGTAGACCTGTCTTACAGACTGTCTGTCTGTCTCTCAGCTTCAGTGGTGGACGGCTGCTGTCCTCTGGGTTGGGAACTCTCTGGCACCACCTGTTATCTGTTCAGCAGGACACCTTTGGCCTGGCCGGACGCTAGAGACTGGTGCAACGGACACGAATCTCACCTGGTCATTCTCAACACTGATGAGGAGTGGGTGAGACAGCCTGTCTGCCTCCCTGTCTGCCTGCCCATCTCTCTGCCTGCCTGTCTCCCTGTCTGTCTCTCTGTCTGTGTCTCTCTGTCTCTCTGCCTGTCTGTCTGGTATAAAACAGTGTCTTCTTTGTAAAAACAATATTACTGTCTTGTAGAGAAGTTGTTTGTTGTGAGTGAACAGCAGAGCGACGTCTTTATGAACCTTTTGGGAACTTTGACTTCTGTCTGTCTGTCTGTCTGCCTGTCTGTCTGTCTGCCTGTCTGTCTGTCTGCCTGTCTGTCTGTCTGTCTGTATGTCTGTCTGCCTGCCTGTCTGTGTCTCTGGTGCAGGACTTTGTGACCCATCACGGCTCGGGCACCTTCTACTGGGTGGGTCTGACCGATGGCAGGACGGGGAAGTGGGAGTGGGTCAACCAGACGCCGTACGTCATGAACCGGAGGTGAGCGGCAACGAGGATTTATTTTGAAATTAGGTTAAATTTTTAAATATTTTTAATATATTTTATTAAATGTTACAACACTGACACTTTTCTGAATCTGTGGGACATTTGACAAAAGTATTTACAGAATCTTACAACAGGTAAAGGCCTGAGACAAACACACCTGTGTGCTTTGTGTTTACAGGCGGTGGAAACCTGGTCAGCCTGACAGCTGGACGGGTCACGGTCTCGGCCAGGGAGACGAGGACTGCGCTCACCTTCACAGCGACGGACGCCTCAACGACCTGCACTGCTCCACCAGGCTGCGCTACATCTGCCAGAGACGCAGCCAGCACACCTGAACACACCTGCAGCTCCACGTCCGCCGCAGGACTGTGGTCCTGGACCTGTCGTCTCTGGTCTCAGATCAGCATCAGCGTCAGCGCAGGAGTCTGTGATCACATCAATAATGTTGCACCTCAAAGTATCTGATGTGTGTGTGTGTGTGTGTCTATGTGTGTCTGTGTGTGTGTGTGTTTGTCATATCTGATTCCTTTGAGCTCGTGTCCAAAAACTATTAAAACACATCAGTGAGTCTCAGTGTCACGTTCCTTCATCACCATGAACACACACACACACACACACACACACACACACACACACACACACAGACCTGATTTCCGTCTTCAGTAGGAACCAATGAGCCGCAGACAGAGGAGGGAAATCAGAGAGAGACGGACTGACACGATCAGAAAAACATCAAATATCTCCCGCCTCCTGTTTGAAAAGATGATGTCATCAGCTGACTGATGCACAGACAGCAGTGAGACGATTCAACAGGATTTATTTGACTGTAAAACTTCCACAAAACAAAAGTGCAGAAGCTGCTGAACTCGGGAAAGAACAGCTGACACACAAACTACAAGGTTTTTAAAATACAAGACAAAGAATCAGAGACAACGTGAGAATTCACTGAGGCTTTGATCGACTTTCTGACAATAAAATATCATTTAGAGATTTTTTTCTTGTTCCAGCTTCAAACTGAACAAACAGCAGAAATGAAACCAGGGACGAGGTCAGTGCTTCACAAACACTGAGGTCCCAAACACCAACTTCTCTTCACCACCAGGAGTCAGCTGCAGAAAAACTAAATCCTTCAGCTCTTTAAGCTTTGGTCTAAAATAATCAGTCGTGAGGAGTGAGCCGATGAAAGACTCATTTCAACATTTAGGTCGGTACAACTCCCGGGAAACAAACACCTCAGACATGAACGCTGTGAACGCTGTGAACGCCGTGAACGCCGTGAACGCCACGTCCTCTGTGGCAGCAAATCTTCTGAACATCACAGTAACAAAAACAGCAGCAACTTTTGGATCCTGGTTGAGGAGCGTCGACGCTCGGAGACACGGACGAGAGAAGATGAAATACTGCATCAGGTTTCATCAGCTCTTCTTCCTTTTTATTTAAAGACCAAAAGTCATTTTAGAAGAAAGTGTCCAGCTTCATGTTACAGCCCAACAATTAGTGTCATTACTTCATATGTGCTAATGACATACAAATAATAACTTTATTCAGCTTCTTGTTACTAACATCAGAACAACAGTAAGTCCAGCCTGTAATTATTAAACACAGTGTAAATTATTAATACATTTCTCTTCTTCCATCATTGACACTATATCAACTAAATATATGTGCTGATGTTTAGACTCCATACTTCCACTGTGATTGGAGGGTTGTAATAGAAAGTGTTAACACCTGTCAACGACCATCTGCCAGAACAGCTGTCTGTCACTGTTTCTTTTTAAATGTAGTTCAGTTAAAAAACTACAACTCCCAAAACGAACACGCAGTAAAGTGCAGCAGCATGTGTCATAAATTAAAACACCATCAAATAATTAGAAATATTATAAATTAACAAGTATAAAAACTGTCAAAACTAAAAGTTACAGATAAACAACTTCAACTCCCATCAGGCATCTGTGTGTGTGTGTGTGTGTGTGTGTGTGTGTGTGTGTGTGTGTGTGTGTGTGTGTGTGTGTGTCAGTTAGGCAGGTGAAACGCTCGGCTCAGGATGAGTTCAGTTGTGGCTCCGCCCAGGTGACACGCCTCCAGGACACACACCAGCCTCTGATTGGTCAGCTGGGCTGCCATGCTGATGAGGTCAGCTGACAGAGAGAAAGGAGGGTGACCTTCATCTTCATCATCATCATCATCATCATCATCATCATCATCATCATCCCTCATGTGTAGGTGGACTGTCAGTGTTTGTCATTTCTACAGAGTGAGGACACTTCTGAGGGCTCTCACAACTATAGAAAGACAAACGTGTGTGTGTGTGTGTGTGTGTGTGTGTGTGTGTGTGTGTGTGTGTGTGTTTGCTGACCTGGTGAAGGTGGAGGTTTGTGTGAAGAGAAGGCTCCGTGTGATAAGATGGAGGTCCAGGTGTTGGCGTGAGGGAGGAGGGGAGGAGAGAGGGAGGAAGAGGAAGAATGAGGGAGGAAGATGGCGTGGACCGACACACCGTCTGACAGAGCTGAAGGGAAAAAACATCAAACTGACTTCAAACGCATCATGTGAAACACTGATCAATATGATCAATATGTACTATTGGATAATTATATACTGTATATAGCCAAGTTTATAAGCTGCATGTTTGTTACCAATCACTCTGTCTGAACGGCCTCTAACAGAGGACAATACATGGTGTATATATACAGGTGTGTGTGTGTGTGTGTGTGTGTGTGAGTCTGTGTGTGTGTGTGTGTGTGTGTGTGTGTGAGTGTGTGTGTGTGTGAGTCTGAAAGTGCATGTGTTGTGTGTGTGTGTGTGTGTGTGTGTGTGTGTGTGTGTGTGTGTGTGTGTGTGTGTGTGTGTGTGTGTGTACCTCTCAGTCTCAGTGTGTAGTAGTCCTCGATGGCGTAGTCAAACCCCTCATGTGTCACTCTTCCTCCCATTGCCACGGTGACAGCCTGCTCTTCCCTGTGGGTGTGGTCATAACGCATCGGTAGCGTCTCTACGGCGACGGGCGGGAAGGTTGGAGAGAGCGGAGCGGTGACGAAGGACGAGGTGTCGTCATCGTCGCTGTCGTCTTCATCAGCGTTTGTGTTTTCTAGGAACTCCATGGAGGCTTCAAACAGAATCTCTGGAGGGAGGGAGACGATTCATCTTCATCATCATCATCATCATCATCATCATCATCATCATCATCACCATCACCATCATCATCATCATCATCACTATTATTCATTTGTTTATTTTCTTTTTTGTCATCCTGTTGCCATAAACACTGGAACATTATTGGGCCATAAACATGTAAACACACTTACGCACCTGACTTGTTTTGTTCTGGTTGTAATGTCACCCACGGGTGTCTGAAGAGAGAGAAAACAATCTGTCATCTCCAGCTCCGACCGCACGACTTTCAGAAATGCTGTGCCACGCTTTATTCTGAAAACCCTGGGGTTGTGCTTTATTCTGAAAACCCTGGGGTTGTGTTTTATTCTGAAAACCCTGGGGTTGTGTTTTATTCTGAAAACCCTGGGGTTGTGTTTTATTCTGAAAACCCTGGGGTTGTGTTTTATTCTGAAAACCCTGGGGTTGTGTTTTATTCTGAAAACCCTGGGGTTGTGTTTTGGAAACAATGACATCACACCCATGGCGGAGTAGACAATCTACTTCCTGTTTACACTGGCTCGCACATGCTCAGTGCAGGTGACGGCTCAGGTGTGAGTGTTTTCAGGTGTTGGTCTGGACGGAGGTGGATTTCATATGAGGAAGTCGTGTGGACGCAGTCTTAAAGGAGCAGTCCAACATTTAGTCCCCTCCTCCCCACCTGCAGCAGCACGAGCTCTGATTGGTCAGAAGGTTTTCTTCTGGACTTTATTGTTTTAAGATCAAAGGTTTTAGAGATTCAACCAAACACCCTTATGGAGGGGGGGGGGCTCTAACCAGCTGTCCCATGACCTGTCCCATGACCTGTCCCATGACCTGTCCCATGACCTGTC